TGTTGTGTGTGTGTGTGTGTGTGTGTGTGTGTGTGTGTGTGTGTGTGTGTGTGTGTGTGTGTGTGTGTTGTGTACGTGTGTGCCTGCGTGCATGCGTGCGTGTGCGCGTGCGTGTGTGTGCCTGCGTGCATGCGTGTGCGCGCGCGTGTCTCCAGTGTAGGTATAGATTGCATCGTACATCGTATGTTCTTCATACTATAATTAGGCAATGAGAATGAATTACCTGTCAGTACCTGTAGCTAGTACCTGTAGGTAAGACGTACCTAGCTGTGCCCGTGGAAGCGACAGTGATAACGACAGCGCTAATATTGACGGCTTTCGTTATCTGGCAGGAAATTAATATTTACACTCAGACCGGTAGCAGCAGCAGCAGCAGCAGCAACAGCCTGTAGTGCCGGATTTCATCAAGAGTGTATAACAATAGATTATTATCACATATATTATACACTCCTGATTCCATTATATCACAATGTGGTTATGTCGAAAATGAGAGTTAGCGTGTCTGCGATATAAAACGGATTAAAATTTGTAGCGGAAATCCGTTATATATGATATTATATATAAATCCGGAGTGCTTCAAGTGAAAACATAAGAAAGATTTCATGTATCTGCTCACCTCCGCTTGACAGCGTGAAACGGTTAAGAAAAACGGACAGACAGTCAGACAAACGGACGGAATTTAGAGTGGCGCGAAGTTCCCCGTGCCGTAGTGACTATCGCAGAGACATGCACAGTAAAGCGGTACGTTGAAGCCACGGAGCCAGTCTAAGAATTTCACCTTTATCGACATATAGATGTCACCTCTCAATATATATATATATATACCAAGAGTACATAATAGAGATTACAATAGATATTATTTCTATTATGTACTCTTGATATATATATATATATATATATATTTATATATATATATATAGCAAATAATCTTCTGATACTGACGTGTGTATTCTGTTGCCTATCCTATATAGAGACATCAGTTCCAGCAGCGTGTGGAGGCTCGGCTACGAAGCATTCAGCGCAGTGCTACATCTGCAGCAGTTGTAAGTAACGTTGGCAAGCCGTAAGCGGTGTGTGGACAGTAGCGACATAGTTTGGCCCCTTATCGCAGTAACGAGGTATCTGATGTGGAGACAGATATGATAATAACCGATGCAAACATGTTTGCAGACATCCATCGTGATTGATGGCAGTTTGGACTCTTGAGATGTTATAACGGACTTCTAACAGTAATTATTATTAATGATAATAATAATAGTAATAGTAATATCAATAGCAATAGTAATAGTAATACTTATAGTAATAGTAATAGTAATAGTAATAGTAATAGTATAGTAATAGCCTAATAGTAATAGTTAATAGTATAGTAATAGTAATAGTAATAGTAATTAGTAATAGTAATAGCTAATAGTAATAGTAATAGTAATCAGATAATAGCAATAGTAATAGCCAGAGTAATAGTAATATGTAATAGCTGCATTTAGTAATAAGTAAAGTATTAGTAATAGCAATAAGATAATAGTAATATGTAATAGTAATAGTAATAGTAATAGTAATTAGTAATAGTAATAGTAATAGTAATAGTAATAGTTAATAGTATAGCTAATAGTAATTAGCTAATAGTAATAGTAATTTAGGTAATAGTAATAGTAATAATAATGATGATAATAATAATAATAATAATAATAATAATAATAATAATAGTTCTGGTTGCAATGCAATAACTGCTCAAGAAATGTGTACGATGTCGTAGGAAGCCATATTTCTGATAACGGTCTGACGAAACAAATAGTCACAATCGCTTATTTAAGCCTAGCGCACACACCCGAGCAAAACGGGAAATTTTGTTTTCTAGCGTTTCGCGTTCTGCTCGGCGAGCAAGCGCACACAGCTGAGCAAAACATACAGAAACACTGCGTACAGCGCCGCTGTCACTGTCGCATGCTCAGCTGAGCGTGTTTAGCTGAACAAGCAATGTTTGATTCGCGGAGCGTGTTTTGCTCGGGTGTGTGCGTCAATCGTTCTGCTACACAGCGAAACGCCACAGACGGTCTCCAATCAATATCCTTAAAAATATCACATGACACACAAAATTGGATGTCCATTGGATGGCTATTTTTGATGTCATGTGACAGCGGCGCTGTATGCAGTGTTTCTGTATGTTTTGCTCAGCTGTGTGCTGTGTCGGGTGGCGTGTGTGCGCTTGCTCGCCGAGCAGAACGCGAAACGCTGGAAAACAAAATTTCCCGTTTCGCTCGGGTGTGTGCGCTAAGCTTTACACAGCTCAGATGTTGATTGCGTCTCGAAACCCTGCTTTTTGCGTCATTCGGGAACTTTTTGCACAATATGAGAGACATTCACTGGATGTTTTTTTCAAGAGAGCGATGGGTCGCATCTGGGCGATCATTTCCGACGTTATTAAAAAGACGAAAAGATGAACACAAGCACACAAACACGCACGCACGCACGCACGCACGCACACACACACACACACGCACGCACGCACACACACACACGCACGCACGCACGCACGCATATATATATATATATATATTGAACGTCATCAAATACCGAATTGTTAATCTTTTCGAAGTGTCGCTTTGAAAATCATACATATATACATATTGGCCATTGACTGACGTGTTGTGTAGCGTAAATTGATTGGAAACTTATTACGCTTTGAATGATGAACTGAATAATTAAGCTGATTCACAGATTCCTGGACAACAACCAGATATCTATCATTGAGGAGGATGCGTTTGCCGGACTCACCGAGCTCTGGTACCTGTAAGTATCAATGTCCATGCTCATGGAACGCTATACACATCTAACACATGCTCAGAAAACACATCTGTCAATGCAAAACCATTCACCCGTCAAAATAACGAAAGTCTCACTATACCTCTGTACATCTTTCGCCAATTTCCGAAATTCCCCGCCCTTCCCGGCAAAATGCGTCTGGTATTTTAAAACATCCGGTGACGTCACGATTAGTGACTGCATACCCGGAGAGGATTGGTCTGGTGCTACAGATAGCAGTGCGTTTTAAAAAACATGTCTTGTGTAATAGCACCTTATAATAAAATGTATAATAATGTATATAATGTAATGTATAATGAACAGGGTTAAATACATTTACCGCAATAAACCAGATCTATAGACGTTTAGGCTATACGTGAAATATTAGTGCTGACGCCTACATGCCTACATTCTACATGTGTAGGATAGAAATCATCGTCCATTTACTCTAACAAACTCGCAGATGGCGAAGTATTTGTCAATATTTATAATAAAGCGGAAACGGCGTCGAACATAAATCGAACATAATTACGCGCGCGCAAGATTCTCGTTTTGTAAATTTTTTTTTTTTAGAAACGTAAAGTTAACATTGATTAAAGCAATGTCTCAGCCTCCCTTTTCCATCTTCCTCTTCTCTCTCTTTCGCGCGCTCTTTCTCTCTGTTCTTGATCTCCTCTCTAACTCGCCTCTCTCTCTCTCTCTCGCTGTTCTTGATCTCCTTTCTATCTCCCCCCGCTCTCTCTGTTTCTGTTCTCTCTCTCTCGCTCTTGCAGCTGTTCTTCGCTGCGTTCGCTTGTGCTTTTCGCTGCTGCATCGTTTTGCATGCTTTGTTTGCTATGTAGCTCCATCTCCCACTGCGTGCGTGCGCTTGTACGTACAACCTCAGCTATTCTTAGCACACATGCAGACGGAATATCGGGCCAGCTGTTTTTAATGGTTACCGATACGGCGGACTTAGTTCAATGGTAAATTAAATAGATTTCTAATGGGGAGACGAACCGCCCGCACCCGCGGTCGCAACTGATTTCGCGATGTTTATATCTTTAGTAATTTTTTTGCGAAATTCCGCGGATATTTCGGGAGGGGTTTGCCGTCGGTACCATCGCTTTGTTCCCGGTGAGACGGTCGTCTTCGTTTCCTACACGAGGAGGAGAGTATCCGGACGTTCGCACTGTTATCGTCATCGTCTCAGTTGGCTTCAGTTTATAGTTACAGTGCGTCCCGTCTATCGGTAACACGCTAATCTCCATCCCTACACTGATTTACGTATAATAGCGATATTAAAGCTACATAACAGCCGACATACTGACTGCTCACATACATGTGTATGGAGAAGGGTTAGGGTTATAGGGCCGCACCAGCTTTTTCGCTCTCCATTTTCGTTCTCTCTCTTTCTCTTTCTTTCTCTCTTTCTCTCTCGCTCTCCCTCTCTCTCCTTTCCTCCTCGCGCGCGCTCTCTCTCTCACACACACACGCGCGCGCACATCCATGCTCTCTCTATCTGGTAAATGTTTAAGCGTAAGAGAGAGTGTGTTAGTACAGACACGAAACGCATCTGAAGCAGTGCTCAATCGTCGACGTCTCAGCGTGCGGTGAGAGAGAACACGCGGGGAGATGGGCCGGCCGATGCCCGCGTGTTCTCTTTCTCTCTCTCTCTCTCTCTCTCTCTCTCTCTCTCTCTCTCAGAGAGAAGGGGGAATCGCGAGACGGATAGTGATTTATTTATTTCCACAGTTCATCACCGGTTGCCCTTGCACATCGTTAACCCTCCCCTCCCTACCCCTCCACCACCACCACCACTTACCACCACAGGGAATAGGTTTAGCTCTATGCCTGCTTGAGAAGATGGTGATATATTCTCGCATTATATTGCATAAGCATTAACCATAATAAACATTCCAAACAGAGTGTTGATATTTTCACGCGGGCGGCGCAGGGTTCATGGAGGGTATGATCTAGCCCTACGTCTAGCAGATGAATACAGATTGGCACCAGAAACATACAGCATTTCAGCAAATATCAGACAAACCCCAACACAAAAAAGCTAAAACTATCTCGCCTGCCTTGCACTCGGTAGGATTCGCGCGTAATCAGAAGAGAAAACGACAAAGATCATGTGAGCTAGGAAATAGAAGGGAGCGGCGGGGAGGGATCCACGTGCGAGAGTGGCAAGAGACACCAGTAGCGAGGATAGAGAGATAAGATGGGAGAAATAGACTAGGCAGAGAGAAAATTGCGGGTGAGTGGACTCCTCTCTCTCTCTCGTCTTTCTCTCTCTCTCTCTCTCTCACTCTCTCTCTCTCTCTCTCTCACACACACGCCACACGCACGCCACACGCGCACGACACGACCGCACGCTGCACGCACCACGCCCTACACGCACACACACACACACACACAGTTTTTCTTGTTCCCTTCTCTCTCTCTTCTCCTTCCTAGTGCTCTAGCCCTAGCCCATTCAACTGACAGTTACGAATATGTTCCAGCTCGCGAAAGATAAAAAACACGAGTATTCGTGTGTATATAATCCGCTTTGCGGCGCATATGGGAGCAACAGCACAAGCAACCACAGCCTGCATGTTAAGCGCAGATGGCGCAGCACACAGGAATGAGAGAGGGAGAGAGAGAAGACAGGGAGAGAGACAGCAGAGGGAACGGCGAGAGCGAGAGAGAGAGAGCAGAGCTTGTCTAGAGAGAGAGAAGTAGAGAGTATAGAGCGAAGAGAGAGAGAGAGAGAGAGAGATGAGAAGAGAGAGAGAGCATGAGTGACGAGAGAGAGCAGAGAGACGAGAAGACGAGAGAGAGAGATGAGGAAGAGAACACGCCGGGCATCGGCCGGCATCTTCGGTGTTCTCTCTCACCCGCACGCTTGCAGACGTCGGACGATGGCACTGCCTCAGATGCGTTTCGTGTCTGTACTAACACCTCTCCTTTTTCTTTTCCCCTTATCTTACGCTTAAAACATTTACCAGATAGTAGAGAAGCATGGATGTGCGCGCGCGTGTGTGTGCTGAGAGAAGAGAGCGCGCGCGCAGGAGCGAAAGGCAGAGAGAGTGAGAGCGAGGCAGAGAAAAGACGAGAAAGAAAGAGAAAGGAGAGAGAACGAAAATGGCAGAGCGAAAAAGCTAGGTGCGGCCCTTATAACCCTAAACACCTTCTCCATAGTTACACATGTATGTGAGCAGTTCAGTATGTCGGCTGCTTATGTAGCCTTTAATATCGCTATTATACGTAAAATCAGTGTAGGGAGGTGGATTAGCGTGTTACCGATTAGACGGGACGCACTGTAACTATAAACATTGAAGCCAACTGAGACGATTGACGATACAGTGCGAACGTCGGATACTCTCCTCCTCGTGTAGGAAACAGAAGACGACCGCTTCTCACCGGGACAAAGCGATGCGTTACCGGACGGCCAAACCGCCTCCCGAATAATCCGCGCGAATTTTTTGTCCAAAAAAAATTACTAAAGATATAACACATCGCCGAAATCAGTTTGCGACCGGCGGGTGCGGGCGGTTCGTCTCCCCATTAGAAATCTATTTAATTTACCATTGAACTAAGTTCCGCCGTATCGCGAAGACATTAAAACGCTGGCCCGATATTCCGTCTGCATGTGTTGCCTAAGACATAGCTGAGGTTGTACGTAACAACGCGCACGCACGCAGTGGGGATGAGCTACATAGCCAAACAAAGCCATGCAAAACGATGCAGGCAGCGAAAAGCACAATCCGCGAAACGCAGCGAAGAACAGGCTGCAAGAGCGAGAGAGAGAGAACAGCAAAACTAGAGAGAGGCGCGGGTGGAGATCAGAAAGGAGTAGTCAGAACACGCGAGAGAGAGAAGATGCAGAGCGCGAGTTAGAGAGGAGATCAGACAGAGATAAACTGACCTCTCCCGCTGCGCGAGAGAGAGAAGGGAAGATGGCAAAAGGGGAGGCTGGGACATTGCTTTAATCAAATGTTAACTTTTACGTTTCTTAAAAAAAAAAAATTTACAAAACGCAGAATCTTGCCGCTCTGCGGCGTAATTATGCTTCGCATTTATGTTCGACGCCGTTTCCGCTTTTTATTATAAATATGACCAAAATACTCGGCCATCTGCGAGTTTGTTAGAGTAAAATGGGACGCATGATTTCTATCCTACACATGGTAGATGTAGATGTAGCGCGTCAGCACTAATATTTCACGTTAGCCTAAACGTCTATAGATCTGGTTTATTGCGGTAAATGTTATTTAACCCTGTTCATTATACAATTTTTTTTAAACCCAAATTTCTATATACATTATTATACATTTTATATAAGGTGCTATTACACAAGACATGTTTTTTTTAAACGCCACTGCTATTCTGTAGCACCAGGACCAATCCTCTCCGGCCGTATGCAGTCCACTAATTCGTGACGTCACCGGATGTTTTAAAATACCAGGTACGCGCATTTGCCGCGAAGCGGGAATTTTCGGAAATTGGCGAAAAGATGCCTACAGAGTATAGTCGAGACTTTCGTTATTTTGACGGCTTATGTGTGAATGGTTTGCATTGACAGCATGTGTTTTCTGAGCATGTGTTAGATGTGTATAGCGTTCCCATGCAGCCATGGACATTAATTACAGGTACCAGAGGCTTCGGTGAGTCACGTGCCCATACGCCATCCTCCTCAATGATAGATATCTGGTTGCTTGGTCCAGGAATCTTGTGAATCAGCTTAATTATTCAGTTCATTCATTTCAAAGCAGTAATAAGTTTCCAATCAATTTACGCTACACAACACGTCAGGTCAATGGCCAATATGATATATATGGTATGATTTTCAAAGCCCGGACCACTTCGAAAAGATTAACAATCGGTATTTGATGACGTTCAATATATATATATATATATGATATATGCGTGCTGGTCGTACCAGTGCGTGCGTGACGTGTGTGTGTGCGTGCGTGCGATGGTGACGCTCCTCGTTGTGTGTGTGTCGGTGTGTGCTGATGTGTGCTGTGGTGGCTTGTGTGTGTGCGCGTGCGTGGCGTGTGTGCTGTGTGGCCGTGTGCTGTTGCGTGCGTGCAGTTGCGTGCGTGTTGTGTGCTTAGTTGTTATCCTTATCGTCTTGTTCAATAGCGTCGGAAATGATTCGCCCAGATGCGACCATCGCTCTCTTGCAAAAAAACATCCAGCTGAAATGTCTCTCATATGTGCAACAAAGCTTCCCGATGACGCCCAAAAAGCAGCGAGGTTTCAGAGACGCCAATCAAATCTGAGCCTGTTCGTCAAAGCTTAGCGCACACACCGACCGCGAAACGCGGCGAAATTTTGTTTTCAGCGTTTCGCGGTTCTGCTCGCGCGAGCAATCCGCACACACGGCCACCGACACAGCACACAGCCTTGAGCAAAACATACAGAAACACCTGCATTTACAGCCCGCCGCTGTCACATGTCACATCAAAATAGCCCATCCAATCGGGACAATTTCCAATTTTGTGTGTCATGCTGATATTTTTAAGCGATAATTGATTGGAGACCGTCTGTTGGCGTTTCGCTGTGTAGCCCAGAACGATTGACGCACACACCGAGCAAAACCCGCCTCCTTGCGATATCAAACATTGCTTGTTCAGCTACCACAGCTCAGCTGAAGCATGCCGACAGTGACAGCGGCGCTGTACGCAGTGTTTCTGTATGTTTTGCTCAGCTGTGTGCGCTTGCTCGCGAGCCAGAACGCGAAACGCTAGAAAACAAAATTTCCCCGTTTTTGCTCGGGTGTGTTGCGCTTAGCCTTAAATAAGCGATTTGCTGACTATTTGTGTCTCAGACCCGTATCAGAAATATGAGGCTTCCTACGACATACGTACACAGTTCTTGCAGCATGTTATTGCATTGCAACGAACTATATATTATTCATTATACTTATTCATTATTATTATTATTATTATTATTATTATTATTATTATTATCATCATTATTAAGTTACTATCTGACTATTATATTACTCCATTACTATTACTATTCTATTACTCATTACTTTACTATTTACCCTTACTATTACTATTTACTATTACTATTACTATTACTATTACTACTTACTATTAACTCATTACTATTTTACATATTGCTATTACTATCTACTATTACTTATTACTATCTACACTCTTACATGATTACCTATTACTCTTGCTATTCACTATTGCCCTATTACTATACTAATTACTATTAACTATTTACTACTTACTACTTCTATTACTATACTATACTGCATTACTCATATACTATTACTATACTATTTCTATTAACTATTACTATTACTCATTACTATACTGATTACTATTACTATAAGTATTACTATTACTATTGCTATGATATTACTATTACATTATTTATTATCATTAATAATACATTACTGCTTAGCAAGTTCGTTATCAAACATCTCAAGAGTCAAACTGCATCAATCCACGATGGATGTCGCTAAACATGTTTGGCATCGGTTTATCATATCTTGTCTCCACATCAGATACGCTGCTGTAGCGCGATGAGAGCAAACTATGTCGCTACTGTCCACACACGCTTACGGCGCGTGCCAACGTACTTACAACTTGCTGCAGTGTAGCACTGCGCTGAAATGCTTCGTAACGCGAGCCTCACACGCTTGCTGCCGAACTGATGTCTCATATATAGGATAGGCAACAGAATACACACGTCCGTATCAGAAGAGTTCATTTAGCTAATATATATATATATATATATTATAATAATATATATATATTATATATATCAAGAGTACTAATAGAGATTAAATATCTATGTAATCTCTTTATGTACTCTTGTATATCATCATAATAATATATATATATATATATATATAGTATAATATATATTGAGAGGTGACATCTAATAATGTCGATAAAGAGCTGAAATTCTTAGACTGGCTCGTGGCCTTCAACGCTACCGCTTTACTGTTTTTCGGCCATTGTCTCTGCCGCTAGTCAATACGGCCACGCGGACAACCTTCTGCCGCCACTCTAAATTCCGTCCCGTTTGCGCTCTGGCACTGTCTGTTCCGTTATTTCTTAACGTTTCACGATGTCAACGGAGGTGAGCAAACATGAAATCTTTCTTATTTTCTTTCACTTTGAAGCACTCCAACGGATTCCGCTACAATATTTAATCGCGTTTTATATCGCAAGACACGCTAACCTCTCATTTTCGACATACCACATTAGTGATATAATGGAATCAGTGAGTGCTTATAATATATGTGCATATAATCTATTGTTATACACTGGTCTGAATGAAATCCGCACTACAGCTGCTGCTGCTGCTGCTGCTACCGGTCTGCGTGTAAATATTAATCGTCCATGCCAGATAACGAAGGCCGTCAATATTTTAGCGCTGTCGCTTATCAACTGTTCGCTGCACAGTGCGCACAGGCACGTCTTACCTACAGCCCGTACTAGCCTTACAGATACCTGACCAGGTAATTCATTCTCATTGGCCTAATATATAGCTATGAAGAACATACGATGTTACGATGCAATCTCTCCTCTTATCTACCCCTACGCAATTCCCTTATCTACTCCTGACTACCTCTAATATATACTATATATAATATAACATAACACTTGCACGTACAGCGTGTGCCGTCGTGCGTTGCAGCGTGCATAGTCTGTGTGTTGTATTAATAATATACATACTTCAAAATCAATGGAATTCTCTAGGGGTAACACAATCTGGCCTGTCGAAATACAGCAGGTACGCGATGCAGCAAAAACACGCGTTAAACTACAGTCCACAAACAAGACAGCGGAAATCGCACCAAATGGCATCTGAAACAAGAAACACTGTGTGCACGCTCCGCGCATGGCTGTAGTTGGCAAGGATCAACTCGAGCTTCAAATACCAAAACACACTGGGCTGCAAATGTACGATCCTG